ATATAGGAATAAATATATGGATAAAAGATTCTATCCTTCTTATTTCTTTTTTATTTTCAGTGCAATAATCCTTTGTTTTCAAGAAATCATTATATTAAACATATAAGCAATATATAGARCATAATATGATACAATTAATAAATATAATACAAAATACTATAATATTAATTATATAATATAGATTTCTTTTTCATATATATTCTCTATTTATATATCAAATCTCTATTTATATATCAAAAGTAATTGAAAGATCTTTCAATTGATGAGTCGGTGAAACTCCGAGGAAACAGTTTGTCACAGCCCCTCGTTTGTTGTCCTCTTCTCCCTCTCTCTCTGCCTACGGTTTACCGGGCAGTTCTATTTGATGATATATATATATATATATACAGTTTTGGCCCTGAAATAGTTGCCACGCCGATGCGGTGCATTTTCCATTTTTGCCAGTCCGCGGCTTGTGGGCCAACGGGAAAAGTACCCTGACTTCACTGGCGGCTATATACCAGCTGCTTGTAACAACCTATGGATTGGTTGGTGTTGAAAACTTGTTCGGAATACGCTGTCCATGCGCATCTTCCGTCTTCCCTGCATAGAACGTATGTCGTACAGTTGTATTATATGTATATTTGGGGCAGCTTTCCACCTAAGATAGCAGGTGTGGAGCAACTAGAAAGACCACTAAGGGGGTGGGCGGGGGGGGGGTGCTCTTATCACCCCTCCTAGCGGGGTGACTGGTCTATTTAGACAAAAAAAAAAGACCATACGTTATATTTGGATAAGATCGTAGTAGCATGTCCAGTCGAAGTAGCTCAGTGGTTAGAGCACCAGTCGGAAAAGCGCGTTGTGGTACGAGGTTGAAAAACTCAATTGCAGCCTCTCGCATGGACGCCGGCAGGGTGTTAGAGTGCCGCACGGTTGGACACACACCCCCTTGGGCTGACGCATGGTAAGCTATTACAGACACTGCCTGCGCACCACCCAAGGCCTGTCCACGGTGTTGTATGTCGGGTTTTGATACTGTGTGGGTTGCTTGTGGTTGTTGAGTTCTGTTGATCTCCCGAGTCTGGCATATAACACACATGTGCCATTTGCCTTTGTTGCGCGAGTGGTACAG